TACTGTGTGCCTCAGTTTCCTCACCTGTAACATGGGGATAATAATGGTACCTGCCTCCTGGCTTGTGGAGAGGACGTGCTATATATAGTGCTTACAACAGCACAGCACACATATATGGGTACTTCACAAACACGAATCCATTCAAGGAAACCAACCCTGGGTGCCCTGGGATGGCCGTTGGTCAGAGACACAGAAGCTGAAGCCAGCTTAGGATAAGCGGAGGGGCCCAGGCCTGCCCTTGGCTCCGCTGACCTCTCTTCTGTTCCAGGGCTGTTTAGTTACCTGCTCCTAGGCCTGGGAGGCCCAGTGGACAACAGAGTGACCTCTTCACTGATTTGATCTGAATCCATTCTGCTCCGTGAGGGCCCATGATATTCACAGAGAGGCGAACTGGCATGATATTCACAGAGAGGCGAACTGGCATGATATTCACAGAGAGGCGAACTGGCATGATATTCACAGAGAGGCGACATCACCCGCTGAAGATCACACAGCAAGTCCCTGGGCCACCTGAATCCTGGCCACAGCTCCACCCTGCTACCCCCTCTCTTAAGTAACACATTAATAAGTGTCTTACCCTCAGACCATTATCTGTGCTGCCTGGCTAGGGAACATTTCTGAAACACATCAAACATTGACAAAAGGAGGTGTTTTTCTGTCCTCAGGCCAGGCCCTTCGGCCTCTGTTAACCAGTGAGTGTCCTCTGTTAATCCTGAGCCCAGCTCCTCCCACACACCAGGACAAACAAGGGCACTGGGCACGGGAGAAAGCTGTCCACCAGGGCCAGGAGGGGACGTGGAAGGTTAGTGGGTCCCCTCCCCCAAAGCAATGCACACAGCTGGGGCTCAATAAGTGCTACTGGGTGGTAGGAACGGAACCAGCTGAGGGCACAGGAAGAGGGATCTGCTAAGCAAAGGAGGCCTGACCTGGGCTTCACTGGGTAAAACCAGTCATCATAATAAGTAGCTGGCATTTTGGGAGCTCTTAGTAAGTTCCAGACACTGCCCTGAGCACTGGACATGGTCACTCACTAACATTTCCATGTTTCACCATCAGTAGGGTGCGTATGTCGCTCTCCCCAGTCTACAAACAGGAAGCTGAAGGCAAGAGCGATGAAGTCATTTGCTTAAGTCACACTATTACCAAAGGCCGAGCTTGGATTCACACCCAGCATCCTGGCTCCAGACCCAAGCTCTCAACCACCATGCAAGCCTGTGGGAGTGGGAGGGGTGAAATGTACAAGTGAGGGGTGACTTCTAGGTATTGGCTTGGGGTGGCTGTCCCTTTGATGGATATGCGGGAGGGGCGCAGGTGTTAGGTAGGGTACTGGGGAGAAGGTGGATGAATTGGGTTGGCAGGTGTTGAGTTCCAGATGCCTGGGGATGCTCAGGTGGAGGAGGCAGGAGCGAGGCGGCTTATGGCGCTGAGGCTGGTGAAGGGGGCTGGAGCTGCTCACTCCAGAGGCATCAGTGTAGAAATGCAGCCTGGGAAACACCTGAGCAATGAAGGGGCAAGGCCACAGCTAAGGCAGGGGAATTGATATTTAGTGTGCAAGGACTCAAAATGACAGCAGGAAGTGTTTTGGAGACCATTATTATTATTATTATTATTATTGAGATAGAGTCTCACTCTGTTGCCCAGGCTGGAGTGCAGTGGTGCAGTCATAGCTTATTGTAACCTTGAACTTCTGGGCTGAAGTGATCCTCCTGCCTCAGCCTCCTGGGACTCAGCCACCACAACCAGCCAATTTTTAGATTTTTCTGTAGGGACAAGGGTGTGGGGGGGCCTCCCTATATTGTCCATGCTAGTCTTGAACTCCTGACCTCAATTAGTCCTCCTGCCTTAGCCTCCCAAAGTGCTGGGATTACAGGAATCAGTCACCACATCTACCCAAGTGCTATTTTTATTTATTTATTTCATTTCATTTCATTTATTTATTTTTGAGACAGAGGTTTGTTGTTGTTGTTGTTGTTTTTGAGATGGAGTCTCGCTCTGTCACCCAGGCTGGAGTGAAATGGTGTGATCTTGGCTCACTGCAACTTCTACCTCCTGGGTTCAAGCGATTCTCCTGCCTCAGCCTCCTGAGTAGTTTGGATTACAGGTACCTGCCACATGCCCGACTAATTTTTTTGTGTTTTTAATACAGATGGGGTTTCACCATGTTGGCCAGGCTGGTCTCGAACTTCTAAGCTCAGGTGATCCACCCGCCTCAGCCTCCCAAAGTGCTGGGATTACAGGCATGAGCCACTGTGCCTGGCCAAGTGCTATTTTTAAATGAATGTTTTCTTTATTTTGAGAATAGATAATAAATGCACAATAAATTCACTCCCAAAGGGTGAAAATTGTGTCTCTTACTCTGTCCCCCTTCACCAGTTCTTCTCCCCAGAGACAGCCACTGTCCCCAGTTTCTTCTTTCTTCTTTTTCTTTCTTTTTTCCTTTTTTTTTTTTTTTTTGTTAGAGACAGGGTCTCACTCTGTTGCCCAGGCTGGAGTGCAGTGGCACGATCACAGTTCACTGCAGCCCCAGCTTCCCAGGCTCAAGCAATCTTCCTACTTCAGTTTCCCGAGTAACAGGGACTACAGGTGCACACCACTACGCCTGGGTAATTAAAAACAATTTTTTTTTTTTTTAAGAGACAGGGTCTCGCTATGTTGCCCAGGCTTGTCTCAAACTCCTGGGCTTGAGCAATGCTCCTGACTCAGCCTCCCAAAGTGCTGGAATTACAAACCATGAGCCACTGTGCCCGGCCTGTTCCCAAAGAAACAAGAAAGATGTTTCTTGTACATCTTTCCAGGGATATTTAACACACAGGAATAGGTGATCAGGTGTCGTGGCTCATGCCTGTAATCCCAGAGCTTTGGAAGTGGATTGCTTTGAGTCCAGGAGTTCGAGACCAGCCCAGTCAACATAGTGAAACCCTGTCTGTGCGAAAAATACAAAAAATTAGCTGGGTGTGATGGTGCGTGCCTGTGGTCCCAGCTGCTCAGGAGGCTGAGGTGGGAGGATCACTGGAGCCCAGGAGGTGGAGGTTGCAGTGAGCCAAGTTCGCACCACTGCACTCCAGCCTAGATAGACTGAGACCCTGTCTCAAAAAAAAAAAAAAAAAAGGGCATATACCTTCTCCTATAAATGGTAACATATGCACTTTGCATCACCCTGTTTTCTCACTGGACAATACATCTTGGAGATCATTCCACACTGGTACGCACAGGGCTGCCTCACTCTTTTGATTGATGCAGAATATTTCACTGTAGGAATGAAGCATATGTAATGAACAGTCCCCTATGAATGGACCTTTAGGTTGTTTCCCATATTTTACTATTCCAACAATGCCACAATGAAGAGCCTTTGGCAGACAGCATTTTGCACATGTGTGAATACGTCTGTAAGGTAAATTCCTAAAAGCAAAATTTCTGGGTCAAAAAAGATGTGCAGTCTAAATTTTGATAGCTACTGCCAAATGTTTTTTATTGAAGTTGCTTGATTTATACTCCTACCAGCAACGTATGAAAGCACCTGTTTCCCCAATGTATTATTTTTTACATTGGTATCTTGCTGTAATTTTAATATGCAGTTCTTTTTTGAGTCAAGTTGAGCACTTTTCATCTTTTTTTTTTTTTTTTTTTAGACAGAGTCTCACTCTGTCACCCAGGCTGGAGTGTGCAGTGGTGGGATCTCGGTTCACTGCAACCTCCATCTCCTGGACTCGAGCAATTTTCCTGCCTCAGCCTCCTGAGTAGCTGGAATTACAGGCATGTACCACCACGCCCGCCTAATTTTTGTATTTTCAGTAGAGACAGAGTTTCACCATGTTGGCCAGGCTGGTCTCAAACTCCTGACCTCAAGTGATCTGCCTGCCTCGGCCTCCTAAAGTGTTGGCATTACAGGCATGAGCCATCGTGCCTGGCTATACATTTAAAAGCCATTTCCTTTTCTGTAAACTGTCCATTGGTATCCTTTGCATATTCAGATAAGCTGGGCATCTTTGTCTTAGGAACTGTTTGTGCAATAAGGAAATTAACTCCTCGTCTATAAAATGTGTTGCAAATATATGGTATTTTTCCCGGTTTGTCTTATGATTTTGTTATTATTACTTTTTTTTTTAGATAAACATAAGCCTGTAGCACCTGGTATTTCCAGGCAGTCTCCCATACAAGCCCTAACCAGGCTTAGTTTCCAAGATCAGATGCATTCAGAATGGTACGGTTAATTTTTTAATAGAGAATTAGTTGTATTCTTACGGCTTCTGGGTTTCGCACACATAGTGTATCAGTTATTTATTGCTGCATAAAGAATTACTCCAAAATTGAACGGCTGAGAGCAACAGCAGTCAGTGCATTATCATCTCTTATGGTTCCGGGGTTGACTGGGCTCTGGGCTCAGCCAGTGATTATCCTAAAGGCTCTTTCGTGCGGTTGTAGCTGTAGTCAGATAGGAGTTGGCCTGGAGTCATCGGAAGGCTTCTTCATACCTCTGGTCATTGAGCTGGCTGTCAGCTGGGCCCCCGGCTGTGCTGTTGGCCTGAACACCTACACATGACCTCTCTGTGTGTCCTGGACTTCCTCACAGCCTGGAACCTGGGTTTCCACCCTGGGCCAACCCAAGAGACAGAAAAAGTAGGGGCTTTCAGTCTCTTAAGGCCTGAGCCTGTGGAAACAGGACCCTGAGCGTGTACAGAAACCAGGGGTCCCATGAGGCCTTGGAGAAGATACTGCTCCCTCTCCCCCGGGGCCCTGATTCCCCAGTGGCACGAGGCGCACACCCCCCGCCCCGTCCCACACAAGGACACTGTGTAGGGTCACTGTGACTGTCAATCCCCCAGCACGCGCAGTCACAGCCCAGCCGCAACCGCGCACTCCCGCAGGCGAAGCCACACCCCCCTGCGCACGTCGCGCGGCGTTTCTCCCGCCCACTCCAGCCTGGCCCCGCCCCGGCCCAGGTCCATTCAGAGGTCAGATTCCGTCCTGCCAGGTCTGAGTCGGCGGCTGCACGGCGGATGAGACCGGTGCTACTCATGAAGGTGTTCGTCACCCGCAGGATACCCCCCGAGGGCAGGGCCGCGCTCGCCCAGGCGGCAGAGTAAGAGCCCCGGGCCCCGTGGGGGAGGGGCGGGGCGGTCCCGGGGACCGGAGAGCCGGGCGGGGAGTTTGGGCCTTGTGGCTGGCTGGGGCGGGCTTGTAGTTTTGGGGAGGCTCAGAGAAAGTTCTCTGGGGCCCAGTTCTCTCCAGGACTCTTAAGACGACGCTGGGACCTGCATTTCCGGCTTTGGAGAGGGGGAGATTGCCCCTGAGGCAAGGTCCAGGCTAATTCTCCACGCTCCCGCAGGGCACGTGGGGTCAGGGATGTGGCGGTCACTGACCTGACCCCTCGGACGTTTGGCAGGGGCCTTTGATGACTCTTTTTCTTTATATTTACTTATCTTTATTTATTTTTTTGAGACAGAGTCACTCTGCTGCACAGGCTGGAGTGCAATGGCTTGATCGCTCGTGGCTCACTGCAGCCTCGATTTCTTGGGCCCAATTAGTTCTCCCACCTGAGCCTCCCGTGCAGCTGGGACTACAGGTGCAAACAATCACCACCGGCTAATTTTCTGATTTTTTTGTAGAGATGGGGGTCTCACTCTGTTGCTCCGGATGGTCTCAAATTCCTGGGCTCAAGCGATCCTCCTGCCTCAGCTTCCCAAAGTTTGGAATTACAGGTGTGAGTCACCGTGACCGGCCTGAGGACCCTTTTAATTTATTTATTTATTTTTAAGACAGGGTCTCACTCTCATCCAGGCTAGAGTGCAGTGGCGCAATTATACCTCACTGCAGCCTCAACCTCCTGGACTCAAGCGATACTTCCACCTCAGCCTTCCAAGTAGCTGGGACTACTACAGGCATGCACCACCATGCCTGGCTAATTTTTTATTTTCTGCAGAGACGAGGGTCTCACTGTGTTGCCCAGGCTGGTTTTCAACTCCTGTACGAAGGGATCCTCCCACCTCAGCCTCCCAAAGTTCTGGGATTACAGGCATGAATCACTGCATCTGGCCCACCCTTGCTAAATGGAACCCTTTTTGTGGGCCAACCTTACCAGGTGCTTCATATACATAAACTTTTAATCCTGGCAGCACTGTTAAAAACTAATGAAAAACTGGAGGCTGGACTTAGGGTTAAGTTCCTTCCCAAAGCCACGCAGCTCCCAGGTGGAGGAACTCCTGGGAGTTCTGCATCTGACTGCTGTCTGATCACTGCATTTGATCAGATTTGTGTTTCCAATGTTAGATAGGAAGAGGATGCAACCCCGCCTCAGCAGCCAGTTCTAGGGGCAGATGAGATTTTCACATTTTGTTCACTGCAACAAAACCTTTGCCAAGGACCCACTTTGTAGAGCAGAAGGTGGAAGGCAGCAGCCGCACTCGTGGTAACAGTCGCTCACACTGTATCCTGCTCATGGGGAGGTGGATGAAGTGGTCCGTGGCCCGGGCTTGGTCAGGAGGTGCGAGTAGCTATCCTGTGTCCTGCCGCATAGAGGCTCCACACGTGCTGACTGTACTGAATTCCATGGTGCACCACTGGGACAAATACCCGGTTCCCGTGAGCTGCCGTGGAAGCGTTGGGTGGCCTTGACCTTATCTGTCCTGGCCCAGTCCAACTATGAGAGTTTTCTATTTCATGGACTCCACGGACAGGAAGAGATGCAACAGGCCATTGAATCCAGGCCCCCACCTGAGGCACACCCTGCCCCTCACGGGCCTTCCCTGCAGTTGGCTGCCCGCTTGGCCGCCCAGCCCTTGCTAGTGTGGGAAAGCTCTTCTCTGTGCTGACCTGAGAGCTGTCCCTATGCCTTCCCCTTGCAGCTTAGGCTCTGCTTGGGGGCCCCTCAGCCCTTCACCTGTCACCTGCTCTCTCGGTACAGTTCTGAGGCCACCCCTGCCTGACCCCGCCTCCCCTCAGCCAGCCCCGGGCAGCCTGAGGCCAGGGCCATCAGAGGCCAGGGTTCCCAGCTGGGAGGGGCGGGGACAGGTGTGCGGCTCCTGCTTCTCCTGAGGGCCTCCCTTTCCCCGCAGCTGTGAGGTGGAGCAGTGGGACTCGGATGAGCCCATCCCCGTCAAGGAGCTGGCGCGAGGTGTGGCGGGGGCCCACGGCCTGCTCTGCCTCCTCTCCGACCGTGTGGACAAGAGGATCCTGGATGCCGCAGGTGCGCGCTGGGTGGGCAGGGGACTCGAGGGTGGCTTGGGCCTGTGGGCCCCTCAGCCTGCACCACTGGCTCCTGGGCTGCTGTGCAGTGCTGTCTGGGTTCTGAGGGCGTTTCCTGCGATACCAGGCCTAAGCGGGCAGATAGCTTGCTCTGGCACAGGCCCTGCCCCTCCCTCCTGCTGTGAACCCCTTGGCGGGGGGGCCCTGGGAAGGCAAAGACCGTAGTGTGGAGACTGTGGGTGTGGGGAAGAGCATCCAAGGCCCTGGGTTCTCCAGCCCTGCCACAACTTTGCTCTGTGACCTCCAGCAAGACCCTGGCCATTCTGGGCCTGTGCGTCGTGTGAGGGAGGACCCAGCTCAGCGCCGAGCTCCAGCGGGATGTCCTCCCCCAGCCGCAGCCATGGCTCTCAGCCCGTGGAAGGATCAGCCTCCCCCTGCGAGGCTGTTGTGACAGTTTTGAGAAAAGGTTCAGACTCGGGCTGCCAGATGGGAAGGGACCCTTGTGAGTCAGTGCTGAGCCACCCCGTGCCCTGGCCTTGGCCTGGAAGCTTTCTGGTGTCCTGCTTGCAGGAGGGGGTAGAGAGGGTCGCGTCCCAGCCACCACCTTGGCACTCTCAGAGGTGTCCATGGGGAGGCCCCAGCATGGCTGAAGGAGACCCGAGGCCTCACTGGGTGGACAGCCCAGTGGGTTAAGAGCGGGGCCTTGGTGGCAGAGGCCCTGAGGTGAACCCAGCCCTGCCTGTGACTGAGCCAGGCCACTTCACCTCCCTGAGATGCAGTGTCTGAGGCTGTCAAAGGGGATTATTCAGAGTTTTAAGTGAAGAACAGAGATGTCAGCCTCTTATTCTAAGAAAACAATAATAAGCAGTGTCCCCATGATAGTCCCCAGTGCTGTGGCTTTGAGTTCCTCGAGGAAAGATACTAACAAAGCACTTTCTGCACAACAGGGGCCAATCTCAAAGTCATCAGCACCCTGTCCGTGGGCGTGGACCACTTGGCTTTGGATGAAATCAAGAAGCGGTAACTGTAGCTTGGGATCTGGAGGGGGCCCAGCGAGAGGGGTGGGTATGAGAGAAAGAAAGAGGAGCTGTTGATTTGTTTTTACTTCATATCCCTCGGCCATTCAGGGAGAATGTGAGGTGGCTGATGATAGAATCTGTCCACATGTGCACAGGTCAGTTACAATAAACCCCAGCGGTCAGAAACAGTGGGTAACTTCTGTGTAGGTGGCACCCTTTCACATTCATTATCTTTTTTGATCCCCACAACAATACCTTGAAGTAGCAAAGGCAGGTATTATTCTTTCTCTTTCAGATGAGGAAATTCAGAAAGGTTAAGTTACTTGTTCAGTCCTTGAACCCTAATCTTCCATCTTCATATCCTTCCAAAGTGGGAGACAATCTAAATAGGAATGAGGACTGAACGTTTTTGAGTGCTCATTTATAGTTCTGAGCTTCCTGGCAGGCAGATCAAAGAGGGAACAAAGTAACTCCATGGAAACAGCCCAGCAGTAGACATCAGTAAAGGTGGTTGAGGCTGATGTTTCCACCACATGTTTGATTCGTAGTGGGATCCGAGTTGGCTACACCCCAGATGTCCTGACAGATGCCACCGCGGAACTTGCAGTCTCCCTGCTACTTACCACCTGCCGCCGGTTGCCGGAGGCCATCGAGGAAGTGAAGAAGTAAGTGAACGCAGGCCAGGTGCGGTGGCTTACGCCTGTAATTCTAGCACTTTGGGAGGCTGAGGTGGGCGGATCATGAGGTTAGGAGTTCGAGACCAGTCTGGCCAACACAGTGAAACCCCGTCTCTAGTAAAAATACAAAAAAAAAATTAGCCAGGTGTGGTGGCGGGCCCCTGTAATCCCAGCTACTTGGGAGGCTGAGGCAGGAGAATCATGTGAACCCAGGAGACAGAGGTTGCAGTGAGCTGAGATCACGCCATTGCACTCCAGCCTGGGTGACGGTGTGAGACTCCGTCTCAAAAAAAAAATAAATAAATAAATAAATAAGTGAACGCCTGGCAGGAACATTGGCTCTGCTCAGCACTGGGTCCTGATCACTGGTGCCAGTCTGGCCCACGCATAGTCCCTGACCCCAGGTGTGCCCCATTGAGTGAGGACGCAGCTAAAATAATTAAAGCACGAGGCAGAGCTGCAATAAAGGCAGGAAGGGAAGTGGTGAGAGAAGAGGATGAGGGAGGACAAACAAGTTCTGCTGGTGGGTGAGGGCAAGCCGGGAGAGTGTGGATCAGGGAGGGCTTCACAGAATAAGTAGCAGGTGGGCATCTGCTTGAGTCCTGAAGGCTGCAGGTCCACGGTCCCTTAGATGCCAAAAATCTAAAAACGTTGGACAGCTGAAAGTTCTTTCATACTAACAGGAGACTATTTAAGGCTTTTATTTCTCCCACTTAATGTGACTTTCCTAAGTTTTGCTGCAGACGTAACACCGTTTAAAACAGGGTGCTGCCCAGACACTGCAGAGGGTGATGTGTGGAATCTACTACCTGTGCCATGCTGCCATTTTAAAGGCCAATTTTAAAATCTAGCCTGAAGGTTTCAGATCAGGGATTTCGGCCTGTATATCAAGAGTTAGAGTGGGCCGGGTACGGTGGCTCACACCTGTAATCCCAGCACTTTGGGAGGCCAAGGCGGGCAGATTGCTTGAGCCTCAAGAGTTAGAGAACAGCCTGGGCAACATGGCAAAACCCTGTCTCTACGAAAAATACAAAAATTAGGCAGGTGTGGTGTTACACGCTGTAGTCCCAACTACTCACTCGGGAGGCTGAGGAGGGAGGGTTGCTTGAACCTGGGAGGCAGAGGCTGCAGTGAACTGGGATCATATCACTGTACTCCAACCTGGGTGACAGAGCAAGACCCTTTCTCAAAAAAAAAAAAAAGCTGGGGGAAGCATTCCATGTGCAGATGGAGGGACTGGCCTGAGTCACGGTGGGAGGTGTGCAAACGCAGGCTGTCACAGTGTGTGACCAGCAGCGTGGGCCCCGGCACGGGGCGTGGAGCAGAGTAGACAGTGCTGAGTCCTGCTCACTGTCCTGTCTGGGGAGTCAGCATGTCTGCGGGAGGTGGCTCAGGGCAGGCTCCGTCTCTTGCCCAGGGCAGCAGCGTGGGCCCTGTGGCTGTACTCTTTGTTGCTGCCCTAAAGTGCCAAGAGAACTTGTTTTGGAATCGTAAATCCTGAGTTTGCAGCCTGTTGCTCTCAGCTCTCTCCGGTTGTGTGACCTCAGGTAGGTCACCCTGTCTGGTTTGTTTTCCCATCTGCAAAACAGGATGAGAGCCAGTAAGGCCCCTTCCCGCCCTCAAGTTCTGTGTCCCTAGTGGCTTTAAAGGAGGAGTCGTTGCTGCTGCTCGTCTGCAGCGCTGAGGGGTGGTGCCTCATCCCACTCTCAGTCCCTGACCTGGAGGATGGGTTTGTACCTTGGACCACAGTCAGAGGTGCTGGGTTCTCAGCGGCCACTCATCTTGGCCCAAGGCTGGGCTTCTCACCTGCCACTCTCTCTCCCCTAGTGGTGGCTGGACCTCGTGGAAGCCCCTCTGGCTGTGTGGCTATGGACTCACGCAGAGCACTGTCGGCATCGTCGGGCTGGGGCGCATAGGTGAGGCCCCCACCTGCCCACTTGCCCGCCCCGGCTCTCACAGCTGTGGTTTGCATCCCTGGCACCACGTGTCTGAAGGCTGAGAAGACCCACATGCTGTCAGGGCACTTTGCCTGCAGTAGAGGTATCTCTAGTGAGGGTTACAGTTTTGTAAAACACAGGCAAATACATAAATAAACCAAAGCAGGAGTTCCTTAAGAACTCACTAGGTGATAAAAGCCAGTTGCCTGAGGGTCAGGGGGCTTCATGATTCCAGCTCCATAAAGAACAGATGAAGACTACAAATGCTGTGCTGGGGCCCTTAGGAGTGGTTACTGTGAGAGAGCCCATTCCCCCGACACCTACTCCAGCTTTGGTTCTGGAAGGTTTGTGACTCACGAAGCCCTAACTCGGGCCAGCGGGCTCGGTGGGCAGAGTTGATCTGCAGTTCTGCAGATGAGGCAGAGCCACTTTTCTTCCAGTGGCCGTTATTTGGAGAAGCCTGGCAGAAGCGCTTGGGCCTAGCCAAGCAGCTGTCTATTGGGATTCTCTGTCATCCTGCCTGGTGCAGGGGTGCGGGTGAGGTGGAGAGTGTGTGTGGAGAAACTGTCTAACCAGCAAACAGCCCTGCCTCTCACTAGAGAGTTGCTTGGAGGAACCCAACAGCTTTGGGGCACATTCTGAGCCTGAAAATCCAACTGCACAAATCTGCCTCAGCAGCAGCGTACGTGAAAAGTGTCGGTCTGGGGTGAGCTGGCAGTTTGGCAGTGCCACCAAAAGTCACATGGAGTCTGAGACTGCATTCACAGAAGCAGAGGGTCCAAGGTGAAGCAGGGGGCTGCTTGGCCAGGCGTCTCCTTTGTGAAAACTCTCTCCAGTTCTCAGAGGTTAGGGAAAACCTGAGTGGCTTTCCAGATGGCTTGGACCATGTGAGGACAGCATCAGCCAGTGACAGCCTCAGGGAAGCTGAGGTGATGTCTCCAGATCCCTGGGGCAGTGCGGGCTGTGGGGGCTGGTTACGGCGGGGCAGCCAGCCCCCCACCCACTTTGGGGGAGACAGGAGCAGGCAGTTCTGGGGCTGTGCTGATGAAAGGGTCTGCCCTGAGGGCCGCTGTCCCGGAGCTGCTGCGGGACTGGGAACGAGACGCGGACTCTCCTTGCTCTAGGCCAGGCCATTGCTCGGCGTCTGAAACCATTTGGTGTCCAGAGATTTCTATACACAGGGCGCCAGCCCAGGCCTGAGGAAGCAGCAGAATTCCAGGCAGAGTTTGGTAAGTGAAGCTTGATTTCCACAGGAGCCTATCTGTGCCCAGTTGAGAGGCAGTATTTTCTCTCAATGGTGGCATTTTCAGGCAGAGGGCAGGAGCTCCAGTCATGTCCAGGGGCTGCTGTGTCTGGTAGATGTTTAATCTCCCTGCCCCTGGACACAGGCCCACTCAAGGGGCACAGGGACTTACCCAGGTCCTCTCCGTGCCAGCAGAGCAGTCCAGGGCTCCCGTCTTTCAGCGTCCTGTGTTGCCATCCCGTTGTGGGCAGAGCAGCGGGGATGGTGATGGGTGTGAGGAAGGGCTGGGCACTTGCACTCGCTTTTCCTTCATCAACTGGCAAGCACTACCCTAGCTTCTGTGCGCTTTAGTCCAGGCGGATCCAGCCCCTGGCGGGTCCACAGCCTGGTGAGCAAAAGGCAGGCTGGATCTCAAGCATTCTCCATGCCCCTGGACACTTTGGGCCCTGAAGGTGATTAAAGCCAGAGTGGTCCAGGTCCCACTGTGTGTGATTTGACTTCGTACACTCATGAGAGTTGTCCAGGTAGAGACTCGGCCTTCAGGAAGCATCTTGGGAGTCTCTGTTATGGGAGTCGGGAGCAAGGGGCTGGTTTCCCACCATCTGGTTGTCCCTAGCCTGGGACTCAGTGCCTGATGGAGTCCTGCCCTCCCTCAGTGTCTACCCCTGAGCTGGCTGCCCAGTCTGATTTCATCGTTGTGGCCTGCTCCTTAACGCCTGCAACCAAGGGACTCTGCAACAAGGACTTCTTCCAGAAGATGAAGGAAACAGCTGTGTTCGTCAACATCAGCAGGTATCCTAGGGCCACCTTACCCAGCAAGCCTGGAGAGGAGCCGTCCCCACTGCTGCCATCTGGAGATTTTCTTCCCCGTGGGTTGTTGATAAGACCCCAGGCTGAGCTTGCTGGTTTCCATAAACCAACCAACCAACTCAGAAATTCGTGGGAATACACGAGAGCTCCACACAGGGAAGAAGAGCCGTCGGAGTGGGCCTAGCCTGCCTGCTTCTCAGCAGTGGCCCCTGCCTGGCAGGGCCTGGCACACAGCAGGGTGGCTTCAGGGAGTGTTCCCAGGGAGCCTTGGCAGGCCCATTGTCCTCAACCACAAAGGGCTGGACTTCAGGATCTGAAGGGCCCTCTGGAGGCCGCCTCCCACACTGCTGAGCCTGGCTTTGGCTGGCTGTGGTTCAGTGATATTTTGAATCTTACCCTCCTGGGCAGACAGACCCTAAAACTCACGTGGTTGTAGTTCCTCACACTGTCCCTAGGGCTGCCGTCAGGCCATTGAGCATGTATGGGGGTCAGACCTTCCTTCTCTGCCACTCCAAGGCCTTCCTAGCTGGTCCCCCTTGAGCCTGTTTACGTAAGTTTAGGGGAAGGGGGATTGGGTGAGGTCACCCTGAGGACTTATCCACCCCAAAGGTACCTGTAATTACCAATGTTTAGCCACAAAACAGGTAACCTGGCAATGGAAGAGTGAAACATGCAGGACCACAGGACTCGCACTGCTGGCTGGCACCAGTCATAGCTGCCGTGTACCGGGTGCCTGCGTGTACCCAGGACAGCCCAGGACCCTGTATTACTTAGTGCACAATATACAGTCTCTAGAAGATCAGTTCTTGACTTCAGTGGCCGCTGCCTTTGATGGATGTGGTTAGGGGTGTGCTCATTCCTCTGCTCTGGTTTAGGCAAGTGCCTGATAGCACACTGTGGTGCTTCTCAGTGGGGGTCTGGGGGCCAACCAGATCAGAAACACTTGGATGGGGCCTAACAGATGCCCTTCTGGGCCCTGTTCATGCAGTAGAGCATGTAAGAAAGCTTTAATCCTCCCAACATGCCTGGGAGTTAGGTGGTATTCTCCTTATGTCACAGAGCAGATAATTTGAGACACAGATAATTCGAGGCACGGAGAATTTGAGAAACTTGCCCGAGGTCACACAGCTAGGAGGAGGCAGGGCTGGAGTTCTCTGAGTATATAAGACTGACAGACATACTGTAAGTATACCTAAGACTTAGTGCTTTAAAAGTCAGTGCCAAGTGTCAGGTGAGTGGAAAAATTCATTCTGTAGGTGGTTCTGCCTCAAAGGTGGCCTGGGCGGAGGGATCTTCATGGTACCCATGTCACCACTGTCATTCCCAGGGGCGACGTTGTAAACCAGGACGACCTGTACCAGGCCTTGGCCAGTGGTCAGATCGCAGCTGCTGGACTGGATGTGACGACCCCAGAACCACTGCCTACAAACCACCCTCTCCTGACCCTGAAGAACTGTGGTAAGAACTGCATTTTCTGACGCAAACTCCCTGCTGCCCTGCAGGACCAGTGTTTTCGAGGGGGTCCTGAGGGGCCAGGTGTGGAGCTAGTGTGAGCAAGTGCTGAACCCAAAGGGACACACCAGGGACTGTAAATGTTTACACTGTTAGTGACATGGGTGTATGACAGGAGCAGTCCTCTTGAGCATGTTCTGCTGGGTCTCTGTCCCTAAAGGGAACAGAGTGTAGGTGTGAGAGGATTTGTTTTAGGGAAAAAAAAAAAAAAAAGAGTGGGCCGGGTGTGGTGGCTCACACCTGTAATCCCAGCACTTTGGGAGGCTGAAGTGGGCGGATCACGAGGTCAGGAGTTCGAGACCAGCCTGGCCAATATAGTGAAACCCCATCTCTACTAAAAATACAAAAATTAGCCGGGTATGGTAGTGTGTGCCTGTAGTCCCAGATGTTTGGGAGGCTGAAGCAGAAGAATCGCTTGAACCTGGGAGGTGGAGGTTGCAGTGAGCCGAGATTGTGCCACTGCACTCCAGCCTGGGCAACAGAGTGAGACTCCATTTCAAAAACAACAACAAAGTGGGCTGACTACATGTCTACATGTGTTATATCACAGTGACTCGTGTAAAACCTGTTACTCTAAATTGCTATTACCAGTTTAGGTGTGAAAAATTAAAAGTGTAATGACAATGCCAATATTTATAACTCGGCCAGTTTTTCAAGCTGTTGTTTCACAACAAAGCCCCCTTCTCTCTTCTGCTTTGTGGGGCTGGGGCCAGGCCTCTGCACACCCCATTTCTGCTGTGCCAGCTGCACTGGCAGGCCCTCACGGTGTGGGTGTGGGAGGGCCTGCTTCCTCCTGCCCTCCCTTCCTGTCTTTGGGGGAGTGGCAGCAGCACTTCTTAACCTCACAGTACCAGTTTGCTCCCCATAGTGGCTGGGGAATCCAGTTTGCAGTTTTTCCAACACTTGGTGAACCAGCCGCACTGAGCCCCGCTCAGAGATAAAAGCAACAGCCAGTCAGTGCCCCTGCCACAGAAGTCTGAGTTGCAGCACCAGAAGTGCCTCCGGCAGTTGCTACCTCTGTGCTACCATAGTGCAATGGTTCTCATACTTTTTTTTTTTTTTTTTTTTTTTTGAGACAGAGTCTCGCTCTGTCGCCCAGGCTGGAGTGCAGTGGTGCAATCTGAACTCACTGCAACCCCCGCCTCCTGGGTTCAAGCAGTTCTCCTACCTCAGCTTCCCGAGTAGCTGGGATTACAGGCGTGCACCACCAGGCCCAGCCAATTTTTGTATTAGAGATGGGATTTGTCCATGTTGGCCAGGCTGGTCTCAAACTCCTGACGTCAGCTGATTCACCTGCCTTGGCCTCCCGAAGTGCTGGGATTACAGGCATGAGCGCCCAGCAGCTCCCGGCCAATTCTCATACTTTTATGTTCGTCAGAATCACCTGGCGGAGTGACTGATCACACACAGGTTGCTAGCCCCATCCCGAGGGTTTCTATTTCAGCAGGTCTGGGGTGGGGTCTGACAGAGGGTGCTCCTCACTGCTCCCAGATGCCACTCAGGCTGCTGGTCCTGGGACCACACTTTGTGGTTTGGATTTTTGTCACCTGCTCAGTTAGTGAGTTAACAACTTTATGCGTAATGATTCTTTTATATTAAGATCTGCTCAGGTAGCTGGTGGAGTTTATGCCTCCAGACTAACAGAGTGATCAGGGCCTTAGGTTGTCTGGGCCAGTCTCTGTCTTTAATTTGCATTCTGGAATGGACACCTAAACAAAAGGTCTTTAGCTGCTTTCCCCAGTGAATGCTCCCATTATCGCAGCCCTTGGAAACGCTCCCGTCCCTCCCCCCACCCCAGCCTGCAAGGAGCACTGGGTGTGATGTCAGGGCTGTCGCCCACAGCCAGGAAAACTGCCTTCCCACCCCTACCCCAGGTCCTGGAATTCAGCTCAGGGCCCCTGGACTGCTTCAAAAGACAGTTCTTGGTCTGAGGAGAGGGCGGTCAGGGCATGAAGCTGCAGTCGCCGCTGCTGGTTCTGCAAAATCTAAGCACTGGGCTGCAGCCATGTCCTACTGCCGGCAGGAAGGGAAGGATCCAATCATATTTGTGATGAAAAAAGACCTTGCAGCTCCAAGCAACGCAGCTGATGACCCCAGTGATCCCTATGAGGGGAGCACGGATTGAGGCTGCTAAATGGAGACATTAACTGGAACTGCCTGTGCCTTGGGGGAACAGCCAGCGGCCCCTGTGGGAAACAATTCAAACTGGACTTTTCCTGCTCCCATTATAGTATGGAGAATGTCAAGGGGTCAGGCTGTGTAGACCAGTTGTGGGGCCATGCAGGAATGCATGCAGAAATACCCAGATCTTTGTCCCCAAGAAGGTGAGGAAGAGGTAGAGGAAAAGCCCTCAGAACATGTAGAAGCAGCAGCTCCCACTGAGGCCACTGCAACCAAAGAGGAGGGGTCAAGTTAATGAAGGCCATAGGACTCAGTCCTTCCACCCCTTCAGAGTGACACGGACCTTTCGCAAAATGCCATTTAGTCACCCCAACAAAGTGTTTTTTCCTCTGTTGTCCTGTAAACTGTAACGTACAAAATAATGTATTTTGATGATCAGGGGGTTTGGCCTCTTGACATATACACTGAAAAAAATGGGGGTTGTTTATATGTGTCCTGTGTAAACCTGTCGGCAAATGTAGCCACCACTTTTGAATTCTCCTAGATGGCCCTTAATTTTGCCACTTTGAAATAATGTGCTACTCAATCTCAGCAACCAAAAACCATTATCCGGGAATGTTTCTTATGAGTGAGCAGATTTATTCTGATTCATTGTATGTCTAAAATGTTGGGATGGGGCTGGTTAGGGTGGCTCATGCCTGTAATCCCAGCACTTTAGGAGGCCAAGGCAGGAGGATCACTTGAGACCAAGAGTTCAAATCTAGCCTGGACAACATAGTGAGACCCCATCCCTATAAAAAATTAAAAATTAGCCATGTGTGGTGGTATGCACCTCTAGTTCTAGCTGCTCAGGAGGCTGAGGTGGGAGAATCGCTTGAGCCTAGGAGGTTGAGGCTGTAGTAAGCTGATTGTGCCATGACACTCCAGCCTGGGCAACAAAGCAAGACTCTGTCTCAAAAATTATTCTCTACTAGAAGAGGCCAAATGGTCAGATGCAAATTTCTCCAAACCCATCCTGACCTTGAGTATGTATATGGGTTACTATACTTCATTCCTGACATATTTTGATTTCCATGTTGGCATTGAGCTCCCGGTTTTCTATTTGGATGGTGAAAATTTGGACCCTGTCATTCACAGTCCCTTCCTAAGTGTAGGGAAAGGCTGGTTTTTGCTATCCCTTGTTATTCTGAAAGCTCTGGTTTGGGGTCCGTGTTCATGCTGGCTCTCAGTTTGATTAGATGCAATGTTCTTGAGAGGTGGGGATCTAATTACCAGAGAGGAGAGGAAACTGTGAATTAAGTACTCAATTATGGCTGGGCGCGGTGGCTCACACCTGTAATCCCAGCCCTTTGGGAGGCCGAGACAGAATCACTTGAGGCCGGGAGTTCAAGACTCGCCTGGGCAACAAAGACCCCATTACAATGATGATGAATTTAAAGAAGAAAATGTACTCAATTAAAAGGAAACATGATTTCTACCTGGAAAAAACCCAAAAGCAGTTTTGTGGGGTTTATTTGGTAAAGATGGCGTATCGCTGTGTGGCCCAGGCTGGCCTCAAACTCTTGGGCTCAAGTGACCCTTGCACCTCAGCCTCTGGAGTAGCTGGGACTACAGGAATATGCCACTGCACCCGGCTGACAGTTCTTTGGAGGCAAGTAACTTCACTTGTTCTGGGGTGGCACAGAGATAACTGTGCTGTTCAGCATTTCATTTTGGAGTTATATTCAGAAACCTTGTGGTCATGTGGCATCATTTTCAGGTGCACATGGTACAGGTGCACAAATTGGCACCCAGGTTCACCTTTTTTTGTTTTTGAGACAGAGTCTCCCTCTGTCATCTAGGCTAGAGTGCAATGGTACGATCTCAGCTTACTGCAACTTTTGCTTCCAAGGCTCAAACAATCCTCCTGCCTCAGCCTCCCAAGTAGCTGGGTCTATAGGTGTGGGCCACTACACCTGGCTAAATATTTGTATTTTTTGTAGGAATGGGGCTTCGCCATGTTGCCCAGGCTGGTCTTGAACTCCTGAGCTCAAGTGATCTGCCTGCCTTGGCTTCCCAAAGTGCTGGAATTACAGGCATGAGCCACTGCACCTAGCCCTAGAATACAAGTATTTCATCACATTGTGACTGGGTTTTAGTAGCCTGGAGGCCCTTCACTCTATTAGTCTGAACCTCAGCTCTGGGGGAGTGTCATGCTTAGTGACCAAGGGAGAAAAGGCAAGGCATGGAACCATGAGGTAGTCTCTATTCTTCTTACTGGCAAACCCAAGCCCTGAAAACAGCCCAGTTGAAGGCCTGCTGAACCACCCTTCTTATCTTCCTCTCTCTCTCCTTTCCAGTGATCCTGCCCCACATTGGCAGTGCCACCCACAGAACCCGCAACACCATGTCCATGTTGGCAGCTAACAACCTGTTGGCTGGCCTGAGAGGGGAGCCGATGCCCAGTGAACTCATGCTGTAGCCAAACAGTAGAGATGGAGGGCCGGGAGGCAAACCATACCCTGGTATTCTGTCAGACGTACCCAGGCTTGATTTGGATCCACAGGCAGAGCCAAGGGAAAGTCTGATTCTCTGAGGAAAGAGTGATTCTGATGTACTTGTTACATTGGTGGCTGGACACACTTGAGCCAAAAGTGTGTAATTCTATTATTAAATAATTCTCTGAGAGACCGTCTTGGCCTGTAAATGGGGAAGCTAACAAGTGTGTATGGCTAGGCATGGTGATGCACCTCTATAGTCCCAGCAACTCAGCAGGCTGAGTGGGAAGGATCTTGAGGCCAGTTCAAGGCTGCAGTGTGCTATGATCACTCTTTAAATCGCCACTACACTTAGCCTGGGCAATGTAGCAAGGACCTGTTTCTAAAAAAATTTTAAAAATATAAAGAGCATCTGTTTGAAAGTCACAGCATCCAATGATCTGCCTGGCTCTGCTTCCCACCCCAGCCCTCAGCCCTGGGCATTTTCCGTATTGGAACCTGTCCAAACCACCTTAAGCCTCATCTTCTCTGCCCAGATTCCTTCACTTGTCCCTCACCAAGGACGGGACAAGCAGAACCCAGTTGTGACCATGGCACTTGAATCTGATACCTAGACCATCAGGAAAATTAAAGAGCCCTTCCAGAAAAGGAGTTAACTGGAAGAAATGAGAACTAGGTAAGGATGTTTAACACTCTTATTTTGGTCAAGAACAATTAGCGGTAGGTGGATTTAATTTTAAAATCAGTTTCAGCACCTACACATGGTTCCCTTTGCCCACTCTGTCCCCCCAGCCCCTCCCTGCCCCCAGGTGGATGGCTTTTTTTAAAATCACCACCTTACCCACTCCTCTCCAAGGTCAGGCCACAGCACTGCCATTGCCAAAGCCCTGCTCTGTGCTCAAGGAATCAGCTTCCAGAACTGGCAGATGGAGTTTCCAACTTGAGAGGCAGGTCCAGGGAGAGCAACTGGGTAGACTGAAAGCAAAATCTCATGCATGTGCATAGCTCAAAGACAGAAAAGGAAGGCGGGGGAAGGCAGAAGGGAATGATTTGAGGGGAATGACCAGTTAACTTACTAGGTTTGGTTTAAAACAAAGTACTAGTCAAAGAAGGGGTGGCAAAAAGATATTACCCTCTTTTGTTTCAACCTTAATAACCTAAAGAAAAATAACACATATTTAGAGGCATGAATATGACAAATTTTTTATTTCAAAATCTCAAGTTGTAACCAGCATAGCACCACTGACATGGATGCCTTGATAGAACTCTATGATCTGATCACCAGAAAAGATTCTACATGATCACGCCAGACTATAATTAAGGCTAACCAATCAAAATTCAGGTACCCAATACCAGTTATAATCCAGGTAGAAACTACAGATCATAGGAACCCTGGGACTGGCTTTCCAGGGAACCCTGGAATTATTTTTTAAGTGCTACAGCATGTACAAGGACACTGGCCCACAAGCTTGCTTCTCACACGTAGAAACTGACCGACTAAGAGGTAGATGAGAGATTCCAGGTTCCATCTAGCAGTGGAGAGGCAGGGCTTCAGCATGTATCAGAGAGAAGCCCCAAAAGCAAAGTCCACTTATGCTTCAGCAGAGGTGAGCGGGCAGGCTCCTGGCACCACCTCCTCCACAGGGAAGGGAAGGAGGGCTGCACCGCTCTCCCTGTGTCACTGGCTCCTCTCCCTGGGTCCAGGTGGGGCCTCTTGTTTTCTCCAGGCTAACCCACTGTGTCCCAAGGTTAATCTCACAAGACACTGGTCCCTACATCACGTAAAGGGTGGATGGGGAGCCTCCTAATACTATGTCAACATGACTGCTAACAAGGAGCCACACACACAACTGAATTTCACAGGACCCCATATCCTCCAACAGGCTCTTTCCCACGTCTACTCGAAAGGAATTGCGGGTTTCCCTTTGGGCTTTTCTTCCTGGTAATTAGTCCATGGGAGATGCCAAGCCCTGCTGGAACATGAAATTATCCACAGATGTGTAACTGCATACTCTAACAGGAGAGAAAACACGCTTATTTTTGTTTCCAGCTACACAGACTTAGCTTTCTAAACACAAAAACTGAATAATTTATCTGAATTATGCATGATGGTTTGGTATCTCTAAGAAAGCATATAAAACATAAAATAAACTCATGTTCGTGCATGAATTAAACTGACTTCATGAGTCCTAGGGAGATGCATTAACCTGTGCTGTTCCCCTGGACGCACACTTGGCCTCACACAGGTGCCACTAACAGCCCCGATGGCACAGTGCCAGAGGACAGCAAGGTGAGGCTGGGGAAGTGAGGATGCAGGGCCCAGAGAGGACCTGGGCAGTGACCCGAGTGCCTCCAATAGTCTCAGATGCTACTTGATTACTTCTATGCTATGGGCTGTCAACTCTTAAACAGGCTAGAAAATATTTACCCATGCACTACCATGTTTGGATTTCAAACAAACATTTGGTATCAGATTGGGGGAGCAACAAATAATAAAATTAGGGTCTGTACTGTTAAAGTATAGTATGTAACAGTAATAAAACCCGTGTGGGGGCATTTTTGGTTAATTTGTCATCGAAAACAGTAATTCAACCTGGGAGAGCTGCTATATGGGGAGGGAAGAGTGAAGAAATGAAGTGGACAACAGGCTTGTCCTCGGGTAGGATGTGTCAGCTTAGACTGGCCCTCAGCATCTGGATGGAGCAATGGGTAAAGGTGCCATGGAAGACCCCACAAAACGACTCCACGTCATCAGAACAAAGACAAACACAAGCTCTCTTCTGACTTCCTAACATAGAACTGTAACATCTGTAATACAAGTTGGTTAAAATACTGCTCAAACAGCACATACGGAAACAATACCTTGTCACTCTCTACAAGTACATACTCCATTTACAATTTGGTTTTTAAACCAGAAAAAACTGTTAAAACATCTATCCAACAGTGATGTATTCAAAAGTATATACACCTAATAGTCCAAGAGAATGCTCACTCTGGACCCAGTGTCAGCACCAAAGTGCAGTGTGTGTGACTGCAAATCAGGTAAAAATAAAAAATACAGTACTTTCTGAGGCCTAGGACTAGCTCAGGATACACTTTAAAGCATTTGTGGCAGACAGGCGTGTCCTCAAAGGCCTTCCTTTAAGACAGGCACCAAATCACCACTGGTTACACATAAGTGCATTTTGCATCACTGTACAGGGATATAATTTCCCATCAGAAGGTATAGGAAATTTAAATGCTACACAGTTTTACAAAAATTGCTAGAAAATTTTTTTTGCACTTCAACTTTAAAATTTTTAAATGTGCCACTCTCAACATCAATTACAAACTACTTTCTGACTGCATTACTCAACCCTAAGGAAGAACCTGGTTTCAGGGATTGCATCCCTTTCCCAAGATGTGCACTTGATTCAGAAATGCAGCAGCACAACTACTACATGTTAGTTCTCCAGTTATTAGTTGCTAAACTGTTTAAGAGCCACTGGGCAGCTAGAAGCCTCGAACCCAAAGGCATTAACTGCTTACCAAAAGAAATTCAGTCCGACAACTGGCCGCAGCGTTGTCTTGAAAGGACAAACAGCTAGAGCAAAGTGCTGGGAAGATTGCTGCTCTGCCAGCGCAGGCAGGTAGTCTTTGAGTGCTTATACAGGTGGCTGGACTGACTAAACCTCTTGCCACACTTCAGGCAGGCGTAGGGCTTTTCACCTGTATGAACACGGATGTGTTTCTTGCAATCTGTCAAAGTCAGAAAAGTTTTGCAGCAGATTTTGCAGGCATACTTGCGAGCTCCCTCTACAACCAAAACATTGTGCTCTGATAAGGCCTTCTTGCACTTTGACAGAACATCTGCAGATGCTCTGGTCAATTGTGGAGGGCCAGGCTGGGAAGGATGGCCATTTTCAAATGAGGATGTAGCTCCATTCATCATTAGCTGGGAACTGGCAGAGTTTTCTGGGATCTGTGAGCTCCTGACAGAAGTTACAACTGGCATTTTGGGAGCTATGCGGCGATAGTATGGAAAGTTACTGGCTCCTCCCCTTGGGGAACCTATCATTACCCTGGAGAAGGAGGAGTGGAGGCCCAAACCAGACCTGGAAAAGTCCATCCCAAACTGTTCTCCTCCTTGGTAGCCTGAAGTCTGCACACACGGCAGGCCCATCACCTCCTGCATAGGTCTGACAAAGTGGGAGTCTGCAGGTTCACTAAATGGGTTCTCTACATGGGAGCCAGGGGCAGAGGAGGGCCCACCTGCAGGCCCAGCCTCTGGACTCAACAAATAGGGGGCCTCACTCTCCAGCCTGCAGTCACTAGTGGTGTTTGGGATATTATCATCATTGTTCTGATTTGCAGTAAAGTTATTTCCTCTGCTCTTGTTAAGAAAATTTGAAATACTAAAAGTGGACTTATGCTCTAGGTTATTTGTGACCTCCAAAATGTGGATATCACCTACCCTGTCTGTGCTAGACTGGGGATCTGAAAAACTCCGATCACTGCTTTCAGGGCTGAGGTCTATCTTCTCGGCACTGACCACAACTCCTTCCACTTCTACAGACTCGCTGCCTTCTGCTTGTGAGGTCACATCGCTCACTTCATCCTGAGGCTCAGGCGAGCTCAGGGGCTCAGATTTAACCACCACTCTCATGTGCTCCTTCTCACCAAGGCCAACCTCAGGATTTTCACACTGAAAACTACTTTTCTCAGTTGCAGCTTCCTGATCAAAACTAGTCTCAACCTGAGTTGCCCGAGAGGCCATGGACAACTGTGCCATGTTGCCAGCACTGTTATCAGACTGGCTGGGCACCTGGGCATCTTCTTGAGTGCCAAAAGACTGATCAAACATGATCGCACTGTCTTCCTGGTTATCAGTCATTCCATCAGCTTTAGGATTATCCACAATTTTCAGAGAATCTGGTGAAAAGAACTCCTCCCGAGAATGAACCCCTGAAGGCCCATTCTCCGGTGTAACATCTGAAATGGCAGACTCATCCATGGAGGGTCGGAGGCGCTGCCTGGCCCGCTCTTCTGCAGACTGCTTGCGCTTATGCAGGCGTCTCATGGGGAAGGGCGTGCGCTGATCCAGGTTATTGCGCATGGAAGAGCTCATGGGGGCTGGCTGCTCCTCGCCATTCTGGCTGGAATTGAGGGCTGAGCTCACAATACTTAGTCCCAGCTGCTGTAGCATAAAGGAGCGCTGCATGCGGGCACTCTGCTCCTGAACGCGCTCACTGGGGGGAGACATGGGCAGCGTCCTTGTCGTTAAGTAATGTTTACATGCCTTAACAACAGAGTTCAAATGCAGGTGAGAGGCTGCCAATAAGACATCCATAACATTGCTCTCCCCCAGCATGAGGGTGGAGGTATACATCATGTCAATCAGTGCAGCAAAGGCCTCTGCTGTCACCACCTCGCTATCCAGCTGGATCATGTTCATGGTCTGATCTCCTTCTGCCACTGAGAACAGGGCTCGGAAATGCGTGCTGCATGCCGCCAGCACGGAGCGGTGGGCTTTAAAGTGTCTATTCCCTACCACAATGACACAATCACAGAGCTGGCCATGAAGTCTCTGGTAGTTCAGCTGCTGGAAGATTTGTTCAAAGTGACCAGGAAAATCCATGATTCTACAGGAAAACAAAGAAAATGTTAAGACCTAGAAAAGCTTCAAAGTCAGAACACAAAGGGTATGATGAAAAGAGTGGAATGGATGGCCAAGCTTGGACCTTTGAAGCCTGTGATCTCTCTGATAATGGGCACATACACTAAGAGCTTGTCATATAAGGAGCAAATGCCAATTCAGCCATCAGCCCAGGAGGCATGCACACATGTGGGCCCAGCTACTGACAGGCTTCCCTTTACTCTTCATATGAGCCATGTATAACACTAAGGGGCTAAGTTAGTAAAGACCAGTGTGTGAGTGATGGATATCTATCCCACAGAAGTTTGTTAGAGTTTTGCATTCCCTAACGATGAGGAATGAATGCAAAGAAATTCCAAAATCTTAGGAACCTTAAATAAGTGAAAAGGGCAAATTAATATTAGTGTGGAAGATTTCCAGTTATAGAGGGTAGCAGATTGCACACATGCATTTGCCCCCTGTTCATTCTTGAAACCCCACTAAAATGACACTAAGCCAGGCGTGGTGGGTCACACCTGTAATCTCAGCACTTTGGGAGGCTGAGACGGGCAGATCACCTGAGGTCAGGAGTTCAAGACGAGCCTGACCAACATGGTGAAACTCCATCTCTACTAAAAATACAAAAAAATTAGCCAGGCATGGCAGTGTGTACTTGTAATCCCAGGTACTCGGGAGGCTGAGGCAGGAGAATTGCTTGAACCCGGAAGGCGGAGGTTGCAGTGAGCTGAGATCGTGCCACTGCACTCCCAGCCTGGGCGACAGAGCCAGACTTCATCTCAAAGAAAAAAAAAAAAAAACACTGAAATTTTTTGGTTTCATTGTTGTTTTAAAGGTATACACCCACAAGAAAAACGAGAATGAGAAGGGCTTCAATAGCATTTTGGAAGCTAGGGAGCAGGTAAATCAGTGCTAACTGACTCAGCACACCCCAAAAGTGAAAATCCTAAACTGGCAGTGGATAAAATAACCTAACATATAAATCTCATTCCCAAAGGCCAAGGAACTGGTTGCCCTTGCCAGGGGAAATGGAATGAAGGTGTGGCTAAGGCAGGAGGCCTGGCTGAAAATCTATCCAATAGAAAAAACAAAAACAAAACAAAACAACCCTAGGCCAGATGCGGTGGCTCATGCCTGTAATCCTATAGCACTTTTGGAGGCTGTGGTGGGAGGACTGCCTGAGCTTAGGAGTTTGAGACCAGCCTGGGCAACAAGGTGAAACTCTGTCTCTACCAAAAATACAAAAAATTAGCCGGGCATGGTGGTGTGTGCCTCTGGTCCCAGCTACTCAAGAGGCTGAAGGGGGAGGATCACTTGAGCCTGGGAGGCAGAGGCTGCAGTGAGCAGAGATCGCACCGCTGCATTCCAACCTGGGTGAGAGTGAAACCTGTCTCAAAAAAAAATTAGCAGAGTATCATGGTGTGCACCTGTGGTCCCAGCTACTTGGGAGGCTGAGGTGGGAGGATCACTTGAGCCTGGGAAGTCAAGGCTTCTGTGAACTGTGACTGGGCCACTGCACTCTAGCCTAAGCAACAGAGCAAGGCCCTGTCTCAGAAAATAAAATAAAAATAAGTGAATAAGAAAAAGAGGAAGAATTAATCAGGTCCAATATCTTGACTACAGAAAGAGAAAAGTAAGAATACAGAGGGTGAAAATGATGTAAGAAATGTTTTTTTTTTTTTCGTTGTTTTGAGACAGCGTTTCGCTCTGTTCCCCCAGGCTAGAGTACAATGGCGTGATGTCGGCTCACTGACCTCTGCCTCCCCAGTTCAAGTGATTCTCCTGCCTCAGCCTCCTCACTAGCTGGGATTATAGGTGCATGCCACCACGCCCGGCTAATTTTTGTATTTTTAGTAGAGACGGGGGTTTTACCATCTTGGTCAGGCTGGTCTTGAACTCTTGACCTCAGGTGATCCGCCCGTCTTCGCCTCCCAAAGTGCTGGGATTACAGGCAGGAGCCACTGCGCCCAGCCAAGAAATGGTATTTTTTTAAATTTTGAGAACTGAATAAATTTTCTTATTAAGACTAATAAGGCCCAACAAGTACTCAACAATATGAAAATACAAATCCCCACACTAGGCTGATATCAGGAATAAAATGGGCGTTTGTCTTTGCCATAGCAGCACTGCAAGCTAGAAGATGACAGTTCCTTCAAAATTATCCAAAAAAAACCACAAAATTTCCAACTTAGAATTCCACACTCAGCCAAACTATTAATCAATTAGGATAAACTAAGGCATTTTCAGATAAGAACCCAAAGGTTTACCCTTTCTCAGGAAGCGACTAAGATTGCAGGAAACAGGAGACTCACTAGAGAAGACAGGCAAAGGGAATCCCAAGGATAATGATGAAGCCCCAGATGACAACTAGGCAGCAGGCCTGGAGAGCAAAAGCAGTCAGACTGGAGCAGGAAGGACTCCAAGGAGTGGGTCTCCAAGGGGGGTGGAAAAAAAAGGAATGGATAGATAACCTGATGTGATTGGGAGTGCTTAGAATTTACCAGTTCTATCAAAGTGTGAAGATGGGTCATTAAAAAAAGACAAGAAAATTTTAAATGGATCAACGATTAACTCCAAGAAAAAAAAAGGTTGTTTACTTGTAGGACACAATATGTAATTCATTTGTAGACAGTATTTACACAGTCATAAAATAAGTACACTAACCAAATGTGAGATACTGGGAAGATGAGAGAAAGCAACTTTGCATGGGGGGAGGGGGTAGAGGAGATGAGGTATAATAAAGTTAAATCTTCGCTTTCCTTATTAATCTAGAAATACAGTCTGAAATAGGTTATCTCAAAAAATAGTAATTTGGCATGTTATTTAGCAGTACAGAAGTTGGTTGAGCATGGTGGCTCATGCCTGTAATCCCAGCGCTTTGGGAGGCCGAGGTAGGTGGGTCCCTTGAGCCCCCAGGAGTTCGAGACCAGCCTGAGCAACACGGCGAAACCCCATCTCTTACTAAAAATACAAAAACAATTAGCCGGGTATGGTGGTGTGTGCCTGCAGTCCCAGCTATTTGGGAGGCTGAGGTGGATCCACTTGAGCCCGGGAGTCAGAGGTTGCAGTGAGCAGAGATCACGTCACTGCACTCTAATCTGGGAGACAGAGTGAGACCCTGTCTCAAAAAGCAAACAAACAAACAAACAAAAAGGAAGTCAATAGTGAAGTGGAAGAAATAGCTGAAATAACTGAAAGTGGTTGCCTCTGAGAAGTGGGTAATTGATGGGGAAAAGGATGGGACAGGGGACTGCTGTTCTGTTGTTGTTTCTTTTCACCTATAAGACTTATGGAACTATAGGCTGGGTGTGGTAGCTCATGCCTGTAATCCTAAGCCTTTGGGAGGCCGAGGTGGGTGGATTGCTTGAGCTCAGGAGTTTGAGACCACCCTGGGCAACATGGCAAAACCCCATCCCAACTAAAAATACAAAAAGTAGCCGGCCATGGTGGCAAGTGCCCGCCATGTAGTCCCAGCGTACTTGGGAGGCTAAGGCGGGAGGATTGCTTCAGCCCAGGGGGCAGAGGTTATAGACAGCGAAGATCGCTGCACTGCAACCTGGGCGACAGAGCAAGTCTCTGTCTCAAATAAATAAATACATAAAAATGTATAATCACATTTATAAAATTTTTTTTAAAAAAGGTAGATCCGTGACATTCTAAAGGGATATACCTGAGATCTTTGCAAATCTCCAAAATTCACAAATACCATCATGGCATTTCATAAGAAGGCAGCATGGGTGCCAAGCGGCTCCCCAGGCCCAACCACTTGCTCTGATGCCCCAGCCGTACAGTCTTACAGGCCAAAGTTGGTCAGGATCGTGGGAAATAACTGAAATGGCAAACTAAGTCCACGAAACCCAAGGGTCTACTGCGGCGACTGAGACTATTATGCTATTCAGCTATACTTGGAAAATTAACTATCGGAAAAGCAAAATGCCTCAAATCAGCAGCCACATGTTGGCCATATTGTTTTGCCTCCTATGTTTGTTGACCTCTGATGAATTTCCAACAACAAAATAGATCACTGAAACGCACACTTTCCCACTGAGGTGTCTGCTCTTTGCTATCATGTGTGAGAGATGAGATCTCCAAAGATGCAGCCACTACCACATCCCTTCTTGCTTTACCAAGCTTTCCTGCAGAAAGCAGAGAGCCAGCAGTGGCAGGCAGCAGCACACACATCCCAGGTCCTCACCCCACTCACTCAGGGCCCACAGAGCTCAAGGCTTTGGGGAGATTAAACGAAATGCAATTACTGCTCATAAGTCTATAGCTCTGCCTTAGAAAGTATACTCATATATGAGTAAGTGCCAAGTTCCAGAGGGGTGATTATTCTGTAGCAGTAACAGGGAAGAAACATTCTGGTTTGAGGAATAAAATAAATTAAACAGGGAGTTGTGGTGGGAAGTTGTACAAGCCTCAGAGTTGCTCTTAGCGACCATGGAAGCTTGGGCCCAACAGGCAAAACCAAGGAACACCAGACACTCAGCGTTATTGCTTTCTCTCCTACAGTGGGGAACAGACCCAGTGTATTAGTCTGTTTTCACACTGCTATAAAGAAATACCCAAGACTGGGTAATTTATAAAGGAAAGAGGTTTAATTGACTCACAGTTCTCCATGGCTGAGGTGGCCTCAGGAAACTTACAATCATGGTAGAAGGCGAAGGGAAAGCAAGGACCTTCTTCACATGGTGGCAGGAGAAGAGTGTGTGTGAAGGAGAAACTGTCATTTATAAAACCATCAGACGTTGTGAGAACTCACTGTCATGATAACAGCATGGGGCAAACCACCCCCAGGATCCAATCGCCTCCTTCCCTCCACGTGGGGATTACAATTTGAGATGAGATTTGGGTTGGGACAGGAGCCAAACCATATCACCCAGCATTATAGTAAGTCTCACTTACTGTCTGGTGACAGTAACAGAGGTAATGGTAGTGGTAATAAAATATATATTTTTTAATGTGCTTTTTTCTTTGAGACAGGGTTTC